TGTGCATGATGGCTTGCTCAGCCAGCCGGCAGTATCCAATATAATAAGTATTGGAAAGAAATTAGTTGGTCATTTTAAGCATTCTTCCTCTGCTACTGGTCGGTTCAAGGAGCTGCAGGCTGAACTTTGTTTACCTGACCACCAGCTTATACAAGACGTTAGTACAAGATGGAACTCAACGTTTTACATGCTGCGTCGACTATGTGAACAGCGTCGTGCATTAACTGTCTACTGTTCAGAAGTAGAAGGAACTTCTTGTCCAACTGCATATCAATGGTCTGTGGCTGAGAATACAGTATGTGTGCTGGCTCCGTTTGAAGAGGCTACTCGTGAAGTTAGCTTTGAAACAGCACATATATCACTAGTTATCCCTATTGTAACAGCTCTGCGGAACTTGTTGAATAAGGAAGGCAATGATGCAGGTGTAAAGACTATGAAGTCAACCCTACTTAAGTCATTAGATGAGCGTTTTGAAGACATTGAGAAGAAACCTCTTTATACAGTGGCGACACTGGTTGATCCAAGATTTAAAACAAAATTTTTTTCATCACAAGCAACACTAACAGCTGCAAAAGCAGCGGTTCTCCTTGCATTTAATAAAATTACAGTGCAGAAGGTATCGATGCAAGATGGAAGTCAATCTGAGCATGCCGAGCAGAAGATTGATAAAATTGAAGAAGTTCCAGCAAAACAAGCTCGAATGGATAATTTTTCGACATCATCATTACTCTGGCGATGTATTGATGAAATTATTCAGTCTACGTCCGTTGGTGGCACAGTACACGAACAACAATTACCAACAGGCATGGATACCCAGCTAAGCCAGTATCTGGCTGAACCAGAAATAGATAGACACGCTGATCCACTACAGTGGTGGAGTGACAACATGCAACGATTGCCAGCTCTGGCAACAGTAGCTCGAGTTTATTTGGGTGCCCCACCGACAAGTGTACCATCAGAACGTGTGTTCAGTGTTGCTGGGGAGGTCCTCAATGAACACCGTAGTTCACTACTGCCGCATAATGCAGCTCGCCTAATATTTCTAAAGTACAATTCAAAACTGATTAAAGACAACTGATTTAGAAAAATAACTGAAGCTGAAGTTACTTCACTTGACTTTTAAAATTAAAGTTTCAATCGTTGTGTTATATTATGTTAAGTTATGTGAAATTGTGTCCTATTTTAATAAGAACAATGAAATTTAACAAAAAACAGTTGTCTCTTGGTATTGAGGATGGTCAACAATGTTGACCATTATCAATGTCATGTAAAGATGTTCCGGATTCCAGCTCCTATAATTTTGTTTCAAAATCCGGCTCCGAATTCGGCTTCGGTAGGATTTGTTGGTAAAAATCCGGCTAATCCGGATAATCCGGATAGATTTCCAAATCCGGCCACGGATAGATTTCCAAATCCGGCCCCGGCCGGATTTGGAAAAAATTAGATCCGGTACAGCCCTAATAGAAATTGCTATAAAACTTTTTAAATAACAACAATGAAGTTTAACAGAAAACAGCAGTCACTTGGTATTCTGAATTGTCCACATTGTTGACCATGCTCAACACCAATTAGGGATGTACAGGATTTTGGCTCCTGTAGTTTTGTTTTGAAATCCGGCTCCGGCTCTGATTCCGGCCGGATCTGTCAGTAGAAATCCGGCATAATAATAGTTTATTAGATTTTTTATATTAGCCAGATTTGAAAAAATTAAATCCGGTACAGCCCTAATATATATATATATATATATATATATATATATATATATATATATATATATATATATATATATATATATATATATATATATATATATATATATATATATATATATACATATATATATATATATATATATATATATATATATATATATATATATATATATATATATATATATATATATATATATATATATATAAATTAATACAATTAGATATAGACTGCCAATAAAATATTTTTTTCTTTTTCTTTTTTTTTCAATAGTTTATTAGATTTTTTATATTAGTTAATATTAGTTTGTATATTTTTACTCCTTTAATTTATTTTAAAAGTGAAAATTACTATTTATTTTAGTGTGACTTGTTTATAGTTTCTAAAATTTTATTGGTTTATTAAAACTGAAAACATAAGCGTTGATTACTATAATTCTAGCTATAGGTATGCATGGTTTTAAAAACAGTTTTTCCTTTTTATGTAAACATTTGCAATGTATATTTTAAATTTTCTTTATATTATCACATGTTTTATGGTGTTAGTATACATTGGCATTTTTGTCTGTGTGTATAAATAGTATTTTTTAATTACGTAATAATACAGTATTATCAAAAATATTTTTAATAATAAAAGTATAATATTGTTTATAATTTAATGTTATATTATTATTCGGTAGTTATACAAGACTTTCTTTACATTTTTTCTTGTAAATAAAGTTGCTTTTTGTGTCCCGCCAATGAGCACAAAAAGCAACTTTATTTTTTGTTTGTAGTACAGTTAAAGAGTATTTAGATACACACTTCTTTTTACCTGCCAAAACTTGCAGTTGTTGTAAAAATAGACATTTACCTTTTTTATTTATTAATAGTGTTAAGTAATTTGTTATAACTATTAATTAGTTTAAATATTTGTAAACCACAAATCTTTAGGGTTTTGAAAAGATGCAAAAGCTGGTTTTGCAACTTTACAAGGAATAGTAATCGTTTTAAGGAATTTTGTAATGAACCCTGTATATGCATTGCACAAATCTTGCCCGTCTTTCTATCATCATGTCCTACTCCAAGTAGTTCTCTTACTACTGTTTTAAGTAGTTTAGATAATTCACCACTTGAGCACATAAGTAATTTATCACTACTAAATCACAAGCCTTTATTTTTCAAACATTCTGTTAACAATGAATTGGCATAAATCAAGAGGAGAAAAAAGCCCTAGAAAAAAAAGGTTTGAATACCAGATTGTCCTATTTAACTTCTCAGCTTGCTGTTACATCCAGCAAGTATTGAAAAAAATTAGTTATAATGACGGCAAAATTAAAAAGCATGGCATACAAGTTGAAAGTACTGAGACAAAAAGTTACATTAAAAAAAAATTGTTAAAGTTTTGAGAGCTGAACTTAGAGATCTTAAACAAAAGTTGCAAACATATTATTACAGTAAGATAATACGCAATCTTAAAGCTTAAAAAAAGGCAATGAAAATTTCAGAACTTTTAAAGCTAAAATAAGTTAAAGTTGTACATAATAAAGATATTAAGGCAAATAAAATGCTGATAGCTAGTTACGAATATTTGCTTGCATATATGTAAAGCAGTTGATCATTTAGCTTTTATTTAGATTTTCATTTAGCATCTTTTAATGATAGTGATCAATCGATCATCTCAAATATATCAAACGCAATGTCAGGCAAAGTTGCAATTAACCATCTTACCATAAGCAAACTGTGTGACATATAAGAGGAAAGTTTAAATGAACTAAACTGCCATTTACACGCTCTTGATATAATTGCTACCTCATGGCTGGGTATGATTGAATGGCATTTAAAATAGTTTTGGCTATGAACAAGTTGAGGTTTAAACATGGCAAAAGTGATTCAGAAAGATTTGTTAGTTTTTAGCTGATCAAAAACTACCACAAGGTATCATTCCAAGGTATCAAGAAAAATCGTCTTCATATTTTTTTTTCATACTTGTTTTATTTTTATAAAACATTTAATAAGTTTGAGCATTTTTTAACCATTGAAACAGTAATATGCAGAACTATACAAACAGTTCTTAGAGCAGTATTTTGTAACAAAACAGCTCTAAAGCAAAAGTGTGTGCTTGCATTATTTGGAAAACCTCCTTCTCAAAGTCACATTAAACTTTGTCATCCAGTTTCCAGCCTGGATGACAAAGTTTTGTGTGACTGTTGAGGAGGCAAACTTTGACCATTATAGTGGAATCCTGGTTAAAAAATACTTTACTAAAAATTGCAGATTCTAAATCAAATCTAGGTTCACTTTTTAAAATGACCTTGAACCAAATATTTTAGGTCCAATAAAAAATGTTTTGTTTGATTGATGAACACTTTATCAATATGACTTTTGCTTGTCTTATTGCAGGGGGAGACGTCATAACTCATCAATGTAAGCCAAATTTATGTTTTAAATTGTTAACTCATTTTAAAATAATTATAATTGTTATTATAAATATTTATTTATTTTACTTATTTATTTTTTTAGGTTAGGGGGGGCACACGCTCCTCGCACAAGTCAATAAACACACCACCAATAAATGAAATTCTTGTAACAAAAAAAAATTTCATGTTTTTTATACTGTGGACTAGTTTCACTTATTTTATTAAATATAGAAATATTTATTTGTTTCTAATTAGAGAATTAAATATTTTTGAAATTAGGGTGTGTTAAACCATCACCACCATATCCATCACCAACTTTAATAAACATCAATCATTGATGGTCTGGAATAAAATTATAGCAACTTTTTTTATTAAAAAAATAACCGTTTGTTGAAAAAAAACACTTTTTATTAAAAGAAATATGCTTATTTTTAGGTTAAAGGTGGTGGTTTGGCACCCCCTCTAGCGCCCAGGAAACGCTTTATAGGTGGACGATGTTATAAATTTGTAGCCCACAGTTACACCTATCTTTTGATACTAAGTTATAAGTATATAGATAGACTTGAAAAATTTATAACAATTTAAGTGAAGAAAAAATAAACTTTGACCACAGTTTCTTCAACAAATCCATATATCCAAAATTTGCGACTAAAAACGTCATAACTTTTTGTAGAATAGTCCGATTTTAATAATTTTTTCACCTTTAAAATACTGTATTGAAGCACTTTCCAATGATATATAACAATTTAACCTTTGATTAATTTAAAATTTTCAATCCACATACCTACTAAAATATTGCAAACAATATCCCTTATGTGTAACATTTTTTTTAGTATTGTCACGCAATACATTACGATCAAAATTTTATAAATATGAATTTAAAATATATTACCATTTTATGCTAACTTCATTTATAGTATGTTAGTAGAAAAAAGTTTTTGTGAATCTCGTTGCGTTTTTGTTATATTGTTTAACTAATGTTTCGGACGTACTTGATACACCTATAAGTGCAATGACTCGAAAGCGCAATCTCGTTTTCGTTTTTTCTATGGGGGATGTGATTTTTGAGGCGGATGTAATATTTTATTACAATGCACTTAAAATCATATTTAAAAAGTTTTATAATGATAAACAATTTAGTGAGCACTAAACCTAAAAACTAAATTACGTAAATTAGCAAAACAAAACTCTATAAAAGGTCAGAATTAGTCTATAAATGGTATATAATTAGTGCTCATCAAGTATACAATATCTTATGTTAAGTGTTTTTTGATTAAGTGTTATAAAAATCTATAAAATTTATAATTGGGTTTGTTTTTCTTCTAAACGCATATCACTAATAGATCAGTGGTTTAGTGTGTTGTCAGTACAGTGTTAAGCGCAGTGGTTAATCGTTTTGGGGGATTTGAGACCTATCCTCAGCGTAATAACAATTAATATTTTTCAACTTTGCTTATATATTATTAGCAAAAAATAAAAATATAACAAAAAAAGATTTGTAATTAATAAAATAAAATTTTAGAGTTTTCTTATTTTATAGATATATTATACACGATTGTTCCATATACTGACTGGAAACTCAATAGCTATTAAACGCTTATCTAAAATTTTAACCATAAAAATTCTTTTTTGGCAGTGACGTTAGTTTGTGGCAAAAAAAACAACCTCAACACGTCAAACTTGGTTTTACATCATTTGAATAAACTTAATAAAAGTGCATACAATTGCACAAAAAGATATTTATTGTTATAAATAACAATAGCTTAATAATAGGAAGCAATTGCGTCACATGGAATTAGTTTTATATGATTATACATCAAAACATAGTTATAAGATAGATATACACCTTTTCAAGATGAAATTGAGAAAACAAAAGTTGTAATTAAAAAAACGTAAGATGTAATTGAAAAAACGTAAGTTGTAATTAAGAAACATAAGATGTAATTTAGAAAACGAAAATTGTAATTAAGAATCGTAACATGTAATTGAGAAAATGTAAGTTGTAAGTAAGAAATATAAAGATGTAATTGAGAACACGAAAATTTTAATTTAGATATCGCTTTAAAGGAGTAAGTGTAAAATGGCGCTTAAAAAAAATGGCGCGTAAAAAAATGGAGCGTATAAAATGACGCACTTAAAAATGACGCAAGATTTGTAGCATAAATTTAATTTTTTAGGGAAAAATTTAGGGAAAAATTTATAATTTTTGGGCAAATGAATTTAACATAATAAACACTAAAAACATTTTAGGAAAAATTTATAATTCAATTAAAAATTATAATTAAAAATTATATAATTAAAAATCACTTCATTGATCATTTAAGCACCAACTTGTACGTCTTCCATATTTAAAATAGTTGCATAGTGCGTGGTTGTGTGTTGTACCGCACGTGCACAATCTCCTCCCATTATAGTATTTTTCGCCTCAATTACAATTCGTTCTAAGTACTGCATGCGCTGTTCTGCAATTCCGTCACCTAATACAGGTGGAATGCGAATTGCATTTTTAACGTTACTTTTAATTTTGGACCAGATCGTTTCCACCGGGTTCAACATTGGACTGTAAGGTCCCAAACGTAACAACTGAGCTGGTGAATTATCAAACACCCTTTGCAAACGAGCGTGACAAGGAGCATTATCTGTTACGACGACCAAATCCTCCAAACGATCCCCGGATGTAACCCACTGGTGAAACTTAGCCAATATCCACTCGTTACAGGAATCTGCTTTAAATGATCCCCTGCGAGTTTCTATCATGACGACATTTGTAGTTGAAATAGCTGCGATCAAGTGTATGTTTAAACCTTTTGAAGCAGGTACTTTCATAATTGCTCTTTTTCCTTGTCTCGCGCGTCCTTGCATTTTTCTACAAAAAAGGTTAAAATTTGTTTCATCCAACCAAACTATCTGACCACCATTTGTGATATGTTCGTTGATGTTTCTAACATATTCAGCTCTTTTTTGTTTGTTTTTATAACTGTTCATTGTAGAAGGCTCTTTGTGCACTTTTTTTAATGAGAACAATCTGCCTTCGAGGTAATTTGCTATTGTTGTTGTGCTAACGTTTATGTTAAATTGTCTTAATATCTTTGTTTTGTTGGCCACCAATGTTAATTGACAATCATTTTCAATCCATGTTAATATTTCTTCGATTTGATCTTCGGTCAACTTTTTCGGTGTAAAACCTCCTTTTCCGATGAAATTTGATATTCCGCTGCGAACCCAGTTGTATGCTGTCTTATATTTGATACCTAGCGTTTGCGCGAGATTCACCCAATCTTCAAATCGCTCCGCACATTCAACAACTCTTCTCCTGTCATTTGGAGAAGATAAAACGTAACGTTTCCTTTCAACTTGTTCAGTTGTGTGTATTTCATGCCGACAAATCGGACAACTTGAATCTGGTTGTTTCAGAACTGGACGTAAACAAATTTGGTGACATAAATGTTGACACGGATTTAGCTTAATCACAGACTTTCGGGTCATAGTGTATTGGCATATAACAAAACGATCTTTCAATTCCATTATTATTACTTGTGCATACAAAAACAAAATTTAAGATTATAACTTAAATTCATGTCCAAAAAGACCTTTTGTAACAACCTACAAACTTAGACTGTGAATTTGCTATTTTAATTTATGTGTTCTCAATTACAAGTTACGATTTCTCAATTACATATTATGATTTCTCAATTATATCTTACGTTTTCTCAATTACATGTTGTGTTTCTTAATTACATATAACGTTTTCTCAATTACATGTTGTGTTTCTTAATTACATATTACGACTTCTTAATTACAACTTTCATGTTCTCATTTACATTTTGAAAAGGTGTAGTATGGAAGCAACCAAAGGCGCATTGTTTTTACTCTTTTAAACTGTTTTTTTCGTTTCCAGACGGATTCTTATATTTGTCAAAGCATTTTGAATAACATGTAAAATAATTAATTCAACTATAGTAGAAATTACAGAAAGATTATTGAAGAATCTTACCCAGCGTGCACAGACGTCAATCAGACGTCTTACGGACGTCTTAAATAGGTCGCGACGTCTCGGACCAAATTAGGATGTCCTAAAGACGTCCAGTAAAGACATCTTTGTTAGGACGTCCTAGTGACGTTAATATAAAGACGATCTCTAGACGTCTTACCTATTTTAGACGTCCCAATTAACTTAGAACTAATAAGTGAGGAACCCATCTGCAAAACGCGCTAAGTCACAAAAATAAAAAAATTGAGTTAATTACGATTCTTCATTTTATATACTGAAATCTATAATCTATTTAAATATTAAATCAAAATAAAGACTCTATATGGACGGACCGACCTAAATGTAACCGACGTAAATAGGACGTCCTCCGGACGGCGCTTGGCCACTGGGTATGTATGTATGTGTATATGTATATATATATATATATATATATATATATATATATATATATATATATATATATATATATATATATATATATATATATATATATATATATATATATATATATATATATATATATATATATATATATATATGTGTATGTATATGTATGTATGTGTATATTTATCTATGCGTGTATGTGTATATGTATATGTGTATATGTATATGTGCGTATGTGTGTGTATGTATGTATATATATGTATTTATATATGTGTTTTTGTGCGTTTTCATATATATGGTTATATGTTCGCTTATATGTAAAAGTGTGCGAATGTGTATATAAATTTATATATATTCATTTTTACTTTTATCTTGTCTTTTTATGATATTATGTATTAAACTTTATCTTTTTTCGAATTCTTTTAAATATTTATTCAAATTTTCTTATATACTATATATTCTTCAATAACATTGTAAAAAATTATAAATTACAAAATAAAAACACGGTGCTCGGCGATTATTAAGACAAATTAATTACTTCTTCTTGCTCGGTTTAACACTATATATATCATTTTCATATATATATATATATATATTCATATATATATATATATATATATATATATATATATATATATATATATATATATATATATATATATATATATATATATATATATATATATATATATATATATATATATATATATATATATATATGTATACATATATATATATATACATATATATATATATATACATATGTATATATATATATACATATGTATATATATATATATATATATATATATATATATGTATATATATATATATATACATATCTATATATATATATATATATGTATATATATACATATGTATATATATATATGTATATATATATATATATATGTATATATATATATATACATATGTATATATATATATACATATGTATATATATATATATATATATATATATATATATATATATATATATATATATATATACATACATATATATATATATATATATATATATATATATATATATATATATATATATATATATATATCATTTTCATGTCCTGCATTTGTGGAAAAATCCTTTTGGCCCCTAAAATGTAAATATTTTGCTAAAAGGAATTTTATGATTACAGTGACATATCAAACTCATATCTACTCATTGAAACAAATCCAACAATATATGACAATGACTGGGGTTAAATTGCGTAACTAAAAAGTGGTTGGAGGCATGTGTTGATACTTCTCTGTATTGCATGTGCGTGTACAAAACATTTATTCTTCAAAGAACTTTTCATATGTTTAACAAAAAATAATTATTGCGTAATATTTTTTTAAAGAGTTCAAAGAATTATTCAAAAATTTTGCTTTGGAGTCCAAATTGGAGTTTGAGTCGTTTTTTAAAGTTATATTATTTTATTAATAAAGAAAAAGAAAATTTAAGTCCGTAGATAGTAAAAAACGCTTTGATTTAGATTTAAACTATTCAAGTGTATTTTTTTTGATAGTAACAATCTGGGGAAAAAATTTCCACAAATAAGGTTATATAAAAT